AGGCACTTGTTACTAGTAGCGATGCCCTTTGCTCCTAGTAGCTTCTTCTTACTACTAGTAAGGCACTTGTTACTAGTAGCGATGCACTAACAAAAGCCACCTGGTTCTCATAGGAAGCTGAAAGAGATTGCTGTTCCTCCGTACCGAGAAACAGTCACCGTGCCCTGTTCGTGCGCGGTGTCTGGCCGTCTTGAGTCGTGAACGACTGGGTTCACCCATCCATTCGACGGGGCAACCAGCAGCATCCCGCAGGTGAGCCACTGAAAACCCCTCATACTGTAGCGCGAGCTTCATGCCGCCCCACTAGACCATCCAATTGGGGGGTTCGGTTTTGGTCGTAGTTCAGCTGTTCCCGGCTGTTCCCAGCACGTCGCAGGGTGTTCGAAGCCCACAAATGCAGTAGGCAAGACATGTGGACTGTATTCTGTATTCTCATGTTTTTTCATGCTTTTTCTCACCAAATCTGAGTCGTAGGGGGTGTCAGTGAACCATGCAAATGTTGAGACGCCACTCTTGGTTGTTGATCTTCATTCACATCTCAAGGGTGGTGCTCGAAATCGGCAGTCAGTCCCCTCGAAGACAGGTGAACGACACTTCCTGAAATCAAAAACGATGACTCACGCTCTCGAGGCTAGTTCGCCAAATCAAACTTACACGAAAATGGAACCCTTCGTGCCAGTTCGAGGCTAGTTCGCCACCAGGACCAAAGGACTGTGGAATTTCATACCGCGAATATCCCCTTCGTGCCAAATGGCTGATTGGTCCACCGGCCGCCGCACTGTGGTGCTGCCATCTTCGTTGCGGACAGGGTTGAGCCTGCACGGAGAGTGAGGGTTCAGCCAGCTTGGCAGCCAGAACCACCGGTGCAGTTTGTATCGCCAGCCGCAACAGCTGGAGTTTGGAGAGCGTCTTGGGACAGAAGCACTACTCCCAAGCCAAAGCTTCGCTGTTTACAACTGCCGAGGTCATGGTTGGGACTGCTCGAACAAAAACTGCCAGAAAATGCACATGAAGGGCTGTCTATGCAGAAATAACCACTGCCCAGCCTGATATCAACACCCCTGCGAAAGGCATTCATCTGCTTGGCAGTCCTAAATAGGCAAGAACTTCTTATGATCAACACCGCATAGGAAGAGTATGGTATGGTAGCTTGACACGAGTCAGCAACTCATGACCATTTTCAGATCAAGATTCTATCAAAATCAAGTAATTCCAACTCCTCCCAACTCCTTTTGTCACGAGGTTCATTCGCTGGTCCAAATGGACATTCAAGTTTGCAGAGGGTCAGCATTGTAGAATGTGAAACAAAAAAAATACACCACCGTAGACCCCAAACAGTTTGTGTTTTCAAAATCGGAACACTCTGCAACTAGAGTTTGCGACGTCCAGGGCTGGGAGACAAAGGATTGCAAGGCAGAGGCGGACGCAGCAGTCCAGAGCTGAGAGACACATGTAAAGGATTGCGAGGCAGAGGTGGACACCGCAGTCCAGAGCTGGGGCACATGTAAAGGATTGCAACACAGCAGTCCAGTGCTGGGAGACAAATGGACAGGATTGCAAGGCAGAGGTTGGCACCGCGCAACAAGAAGGGAGACAGAAGGGAGACAAGGCGGACACAGTGACCAACAAGAAGGGAGACAAAGGGTGACAAGCCGGACGGAAGTCGGACACGCTGTCCCGCAGCAAGGCGGACACCCTTAGAAAGCATTGAGAACCCCTAACAGCAACCTGCTTAGGGGAAAAAGTAAGGAAATCACATGGGAGACAAATGAATAGAAATGCTGCATGGCCAGCGGAAAAGGGCGGACCCCAGCAGTGCAGGCACCGAACCTGGGAGACATAAGTACAGAAATCATGGAGACAAAAGTAAAGAATCACGTAGGGGACAAATGCATAGAAATGCTGCATGCCCAGCAGAAAAGGGCGGACACCAGCAGTGCAGGCACCGAACCTGGGAGACAAAAGTAAAGAAATCACCTGGGAGACAAATGAATAGAAATGCTGCATGGCCAGCGGAAAAGGGCGGACACCAGCAGTGACAGAAAGGGCGGACACATCTTAAGAAAGAATTGAGAACCCGTAACAGTAAACTGTTTGGTGAAAAACATTATTCCATGGGGGGAGACCCAAATATGACTTCAGTCAAACGTAGGTACCTTGACGAACCTTGGTCAACCACCTCTGATCAAAACAACTTGTGAGCTTGTTGCCCTCTGGTTAAGCTGGTGATGTCAACATCGAACTCTTGTTTGGCAATACACCAGCTTCTGTCGCCTCTTGACCAGAAAGTATCATGCACAGCAGTGCTGTTGTGGAAGAACACAACCGTCCAACACAGGCCCGACGCAAAACTTTTCGTCCCTACATGCCTTCCTCACAGAGTAGAAGCCAGGGGTTCATTTTAAGAGGCCGTGATAGGCTTAGATCTTCTGAAAAATAGAAGCTCCCTCCCATCCGAAGTGGAGCACAATTCTCAGCCCAGTGTCCGAACACCCTTCTTGGCCGCGGTCTTGTTGATGGCACGGAAATCCTCCCAAACATCCAGGGAACATCCGGACAAGAAAGAGTTCGGGGGGCGGACAGTTGCCAAATGGAGCTGATAACTTTTTGAGCCAGCTAGTAGCTACGAGAATGCTACTACTTAGGACGCAGGATAGCTCGCGCTAATGATTTGTTTTCTAGATGAATTGCATTCAATTTGCAACCTCAAATCCATCTGAACCCACCGTTCCAGGCCAACCAGCAACGAAGCCAATGAGCAAGAAAGAGGTGTCGGTGAACAAGGCCACCCCCGTACCACCCCCATAGTGTCAATGCTGTCCCATCACTCATTTATCCATCGATGGGTTGGCTTTGCCATCCTCAACTAATCCTCCAGTTGGCTGGAACACCCAAGAATAAACAGAAAACATCCTAATGATGCTGGATTGCACACCCTCCACAGCTGGTCCCAAATGAGCCAGTAAACCTGGCTCTCCTGAGCCAAGTCTGCAGGCTGCACGCTCTTCAGATGCTCCACCCATTTGCTGGTGACCTCTCGAGCACCTGCCGCTTGTGCGTGGTAGCCAGGCGTCTTTGGATCGAGGTCTAACGGGCCTGGTCCCTCTGAGAGAAACCCAACAAGCAACCAGGTTTCGACCGGTCTTTTGGTCTTCCCTGGCCTTTTTGGGGTTGTTTTGTTGTGAGGGGTCGACGAGCAAAACTTATCTTGGATGCTGATACAGGCTGAGGAATAACCACCCAAAAGGAAACCTGACAAGGGTCCATTGTCAGTTGACCTGCAGAGTTGACCATTGGCACGACATCAATCAGTCGGATGCAAAAGGTCTTTGATGGGTATCCAATTCTCACGTACTATCTACAAAGGATTCTAACCAAGGGTAAGCTATTGAAGGGTTCGATGAAGCTCCAAGTGGCCCTAAGGACCAGGGCTGTCTTTAACAAGAGGGTGAAGAAGTTCAAAAACATGGGTGGACTGCCTCCCAACACAGATCCTCCAAAGAGGGTGGAGGTTGGAATGTTGGTTCGACCAATGTCCAGGTATCTTGTTTTCGGTGAGCCCAAATCTTGCGAGACCGTTCGTCTTCGAGGGCAAACTTCATCAGCTCCAGCTCCGAACTGAAACAACTGAAACTTGGCCATGGTGTCAGTTGTCGCCTTGTTCTCGCATTGCCAGCGCTGAGCTGAAACTTTTGTGTTTGCCTTCCCATCATGGCCCCTTTCTCCCCACAGAATCGAGCGCAAACGGGACAAATCTAGCAAGGACAGCGTCAAACGACAAGTGCACAGCTGCTTGCAAGCAGCCTTTATGAGCCGCAAAATCAAAGCTGTCACCACATCTGTGTCAGATTCAGCTGTTGTGAACAATGCAGTTGCCCCATCGCTGCATTCTTGGTAGCACCAGCATTGAGTAGCAACCTAGTCTTTCCAAAGTGTTGATGCTGAGCTGCAGTGATGCGAAGCTGTTAGTCTGGATTCAATTGCCGCATCATTCGCGTCAGCTCCAGCATTTAGCAACAACAGCACCACTTCCACGTTGCCATTTCTGCGCTGCAGTGTTCAAAGGTGTTGCGCCATCTGCCTTTATCAGCTCCAGTATCCACTTTTCTATCGCCACATCAAGTGGGCCTGTGGGTCTTTGGAGCTCCATTCGCATCCGGTTTCGTATTTTCAGGCCATTCGTCTTCCTTGCAAGGACACGCTGGCGAACACATCAACAATTGAGAGGACAAAAGAACATTGCAGACGCAGTCTCCGTCTAAGCTTTTTGATTCCCCATAGCGGGAGCTCACTGCCAGGTTGAACTTCTAGTCGCAATGAAAAACTAAAATCATAATCATACAATTGCACAAAATTATACCCCCGCACAAATCTGTAATTTACAAATATAATCTTGTTGCTAGGGTCTTAGTTTTTGTCATATCATGCATTCCGAGCAAACACCTTTCGACTTCACCAACACCATGTCTGGACCGTTCTTTGTGTGCGTCAAAAGTTGTTCCGTCGCATCAGGAGCATCAAAAAATACATGGTATTCTGCGTTTTTTGAAAATGTTGGTTGTTTTGAAGAACGTGTCTAGCAAAAATGTCGACTTGTAGTCTGTCAGATCTCTCATCAAGCTTTTGCAAAAATACTAGCTCTCATGATTCCCACGCAGAAGTCCATCAACCATCATCTATCAGCAAGTTCAGGACATCACATCATACATCATCAGGTCATAACCTCTATATTGACGGACTGAAAGTTAGAATGCGGGTTCATGGACCAAAAT